TCACACATTTGTTTGGCAACTACTTTCTCAAGAATTTTAGATCAGAAAGGAAGATTGGATATAGGTCTATAATTGACCAAATTATCAGGGGGAGGAGTATATTTCTTAAATCTATAGTGGAGGATGATCGTTTTCTGGGTGGATCTTCTAAATAAGTGGTCCTCCTAATTGTCAATCATTCTGGTGACATGTTTACGTCAGGCTGTCCTACATGCTAGTCCTCATTTTCTCCTAACCATGTGCCGAGAAATGCCTGGCTGCCAAGAATTACCTCAGCTCTCACACACTGATGAGAAAACGGATTTAAATCAACCAAAAGGGAACTTTTTAAATATGTTCTTAATGTTTTCATATTTCCTATGCATGGATCCCCTAAAATTTAGACTTTTGGTGGACAGATAAATAAGAATAAATACAATTTTTACTTGTACGGAGACATGTTTCAGTCAATGTGCTAAAATCACTGTCCAATGAAAATACTCTTCGTTCAGTGGATAGCAGTTCCTGCTTTTGCTATCAACACCAGTCTATATCATTTCTGACAAAACATTATGAATATGTTTAAAAGTTCTCTTTTCCGTCATATTTCAATCTGTTTTCTCATCAATGTGCGAGAGTTTAGGATGATGCGTGCTCCTGCGACGGGGGGGATAATTCTCTGCATAACACGGTGGTGAGTCTAATGTAGTGGAAAAATTACAAATCTTATTTCAGAAAGTAAGCTTGTATGAGCGATGCAAACAGCAAAGTTTAAAAAGAGTGCAAGAGGAGAAATGGGCTCTTGCACGCTTTTAATAGACCTTCCCTCTCAGAAGAGGATACAGAGTTGTGCATGTACATTTTTTATTATCTTTTTTATAATCTTTTCAAAAATTTGCTAAAATCCTCCACTAAACCTTTAATTAAATGTTTAATTCCAGCAACCTTAAAATCCTGAGGTACATATCCCTGTAACAGAGATAGATTAATCACATCTAAAATATAGGAGGAGATCAAAGGGAATACCTCCTTAAATAATCTGGTTGGAACTGGATCTAACATCCAAGTTGAAGGCTTAGATGAAGACATCAGTTTTGCTAACTCTGAAAGATGTGGATCAAAGCAGTCTAAACCCGGTTCAGATTCCATGACTACCTCAGATGCTGCCCCCCCCTCCAGAGACAAACCAATCATAGAGTGGTGCCAAGATCTAATTTTCAATAGAATAAATCATATTTATAAAGAATCCCTCAGTTTTTTAAGCAGATTTGTAGATTCACCGAAGAACAAAAGCAAACAAAAGAGCAAACAGAACAATAAAATGAATGTTGAGCAAAAACAATGTGGAACCCAACACGGCTGTAAATATGCCAGAAACAAAAGGAGCAAAGCAGCACAGAACAATGGCTGAAGCTGATCTTCATTAGATTAACAAATAACAGAGAGCGGCCTAGGACCACCTTTTGCAGGAAAAAGAAGAAAACTAATTAAATCAATTCTAAAACTTAGGATATCATTAAAAAAAAAGGTTCTGTACTTTTTGTTGCTCATTTTGAGAAAGCTAAATTTATATTATTTACAGTAAATGATTGAAATGAACTATTTGAAGTTTTAATTTCATGTCATTCTGATGATTGCTGACTATAAAAATTCAAATTCATTGTCTCAGAAAATGTGAGTAGTTACAGCGAATCAATAGTGAACATTTTAAACAGAAGGTCTGGCTTCATTTCTAAAACATTTTGGTTGCTGATTTGGTTGCGCTGTTTTTTCCTGTATTACTGCATCGCAGGCATGGGATGCGTTTGAATCCATTTGCTTCGTCTTCCAAGGACGCGCTTTACCTGGACTGGATCCTTCGAAGTCTGTTAAAATAATGAAACAGGAAGAGTTTTGGATGTGAATTCAAACAGGTCCAGCCATCACCGCCCTACACCCTGTCGCTTAGCAACCGTGA